TCCACCGCCTCCGCGGGGTTCCCGGGCCTGCGTGGGGGGCGGGCCTCAGCGCGGGCCCCGCCCAGGCCGCCGAAGGCCCTGCCCCCGGAGCCCCTCCGCTGGCCCGGAGGTCCCTGGTGGGGCGGGACTGCTGTTCCCAAACCGGCTCCTGACGCCGGCCCTGGTGGGTCAGGCCCTTCCACCGGGAGGCCGGAGTTCCCCGCCCCATGCCGGCTGGCGTGCGTGCCTCTGTCCAGGCCGTACTCGCCTCTTGCTCCCGAGGAGAACAGGGTGGAGACCCTCTCTTGGGAGAGCCAGGGGGCTAGATTCCCGAGGCCTGGGCCTCCTCGCCCTGGGCTCTGATGAGCCCCTCCACGAGAGCGTCCCGTATAGACTGCGCGCTCCGTGCCATCTGAGGCTTTGACGACACAGCAGCAACCAGAACAGACAGAACCCCTGCCTTCCAGGGGCCCACCTTCTCAGGGGAGGAGGGTGGGAAGGGTCCACACGAGCAACACTAATCAGCACGTGATGCAACAGAACAGGAGGTGGCAGACACCAGAGAGGAGGGAGGAGAGGGAGTGTGGAGGCCGCAGTCCCAACTAGAGGTTGGGAGGTCGAGGGCAGAGATGGGAAGAAGGAACTGCAGCATCTGGGCAGTTTTTCAGACCCCAGCTGGGGCCCATGGCTGTGCCCCCTGTACCCCTTCAGTCCCAGAGAGACTTCGCCAAGGCCTGCCGGCTGCCTCGGGCCTCACTCACCCTTCTGCAGGGCCAGGTACCCTCCAGCCGCGGACCTGCTCCAGGGTGGTGTCGGTCAGCTCGATACGCAGGGGCAGCAGCGGGGCCCACACGGTCAGCCGCAGCGAGGCCCGGAGTCGGCGCCACCAGAAGTCCACCCGCACCCCCCGAGCGCCCCGGCTCTCCTTGCCAGCCACGAACACTGTGTCACAGGCCTCAGACACCTGGGGGAGGGCAGAGCCCCTGAAGACAGGTGTGGGCCAGAGAGCGCAGCCCCGACCCCAGGCCAAGGACCGCCTCCAGCTGAGGCCCCCTTCTGTGTTTCACTGGAATGCCCATCGTGGCGAGATTGTTGGTTAAGCCTCGGTGCTGTCTTTCATTTAAGATTTTATCATGGGGGCCATTCCTTGAGTTCCCCTGGGGATCAGGTGGGGAAACTGGTGAGTCACAGGCAACTCTGACTCTGGCTGCCTCTGACACTGGAGCTGAAGTCACCTGGCAACCAGCTCCCATGAGCACGGAGAGGTGGGGGCAAGGCAGATCTGCCCCTGCCCCTCCCCAGGGCAGGAACCACACACAGGCCCATCACAGGCTGCCACACTGGGGAAAGACACCCTGTCCATGCAGGTGCCCAAGATTTGCGTAAATGCAAACTCCATGCTTTCTCCACTCAGAGCTTCAAGATGGAGAAAACTGTCCCACCCTCCCCCTTTTTTTACTTCACAGGCCCCAATACTTTTTGTTATTTTTACTATTATATACTCTTTTTTTCTAAGCTGGGGGTCTCACTCTGTTGCCCAGGCTGGAGTGCAGTGGCACAATCTGGGTTCACCATAGCCTTGACCTCCTGGGCTCAGGTGATCCTTCTGCCTCAGTCTCTCGAGTAGCTGAGACTACATGTATGCACAACCACACCAGCTAGTTTTATTTGTTATTTTTTATTTGTAGAGATAAGATCTCACCCACCCAGGCTGGTCTTGAATTCCTGGGCTCAAGTGATCCTCCTGCGTTAGCCTCCCCAAGTACTGGGTTTATAGGTGTGAGCCACTGCACAGAACCATATTTTTACCATTATATGTTTACTACATTATATTAGTATTATAACAGCAGTTCTATCTGCTGGATTACCATCTTAAGTGTTTTTAATTCTCACAACCCAGAGGCATATTCTCATTTTAAAATTTAGAAAACATCTGTAATCCCAGCACTTTGGGAGGCTAAGGTGAGAGGATTCCCTGAGCTCAGGGATTCAAGACCAGCCTGGGCAACTTGGTGAGCCCTCGTCTCTACAATAAATAAATAAATAAAAATTAGCCAGATGTGGTGGTATGTGCCTGTGGTTCCAGCTACTTGGAAGGCTGAGGCAAAAGGATCGCCCGAGCCTAGCAGGTCGAAGCTGCAGTGGCTGTCAGTGTGCCACTGCACTCCAGCCTGGACAGAGTAAGACTCTGTCTCAAAAAAAAAAAAAAAAAAAAATCAACACATAAAATAAAATTTAAAAATTTAGGAAACAAGCTAAGAGGGTTAAGAGACGTGCTCACAATCACACAACTGGCTGACAACAAAGATGTGCTTCAAACTAAAACCTTTCGATCCCAAAGGACACATTCTTAACTCTCCCAGGCCAGCTCATTTGCCAATGCAATAATGAGTGTGAAAGTGCCCATGCATGGCTCCCACCTGACTCTGGAGGGGCATAGTCGGAACCAAAGAAGTTGAGGCTGTGTTTCCCCCGCAAGGAGGTTTCTGGTCTCAGGAAGAAGTTATTCTCTTGGGGACCCACAGGGGCAAGGAGGACACTAATGTGTGTGAGACTGTGCCCACACCAAGGCATGCCCCCACGAGGGGGACTTCTGTCACTCACCTGCAGGACCTGTGTGTTGGCCGACTCGCAGCCGACATGCTCTGTCACCTCCACCAGGGCCCCCCCGCCATCCACGGTGACAAGGCGCACGGGGACATGCTGGGGCACTCCAGTCAGTGGCGCCGTATTCACCAGCTCCTCGGCCTGGGGGTGGAGGAGGCCCTCAGCCCACGCCCCTCAGAGAATGGGGCTCCTGGGACTTGGCCACCGCTGGGCCAAGCAGAGACAGAGGCCCCTCCCCTTACCTTGGCCAGCGGGATGAGAGCTCTGATGTCCCGCTCTGATACCAGGATCTCCCACACCATTTTGTCCTTCTCTGCTTCGGGGGCCTGGCCTGGGTATTCCAGCTGCCACGTGACGGGGCGCGTGACCGCCACACCCCCACCTGTGCTGTTGTCCACCACAAAGTCCACCCACAGGAACGCGGACTGTCCCAGGGGACTGCTGGCCAGAAAGAGACAGACTGAGTGCTTGCTAGCTGCCAGGCATGCCCTCAGTACTTCCTGCATCTGTGGGGGAGGTGGTATGATTATCCCCGTCTCACACGTAGAGAAACTGCGGCACAGAGGCAGTGACCGGGATCTAAACCCAAGTGTCCTGGCTCTTGAGCCCAAGCTCAAATCTACTCTTGGCCTGTCCAAGATCCATGCAGCCACTTAACTATCTGTCAGGGGACCTACTGGCTACCCTGCCTTCCTGGGCCCCTCCACTTGGACCTCTGCTTTCCACAGCCACTGAGGTGGCATGAGGGAGACTCCCTTCCGGGTCCCAGGACTGGACATTCGACCCTCTGGATAATAACCCTCAGAGCTCCCTTTGATCAAACAAAACCCCACATGCTGGGCTACAGGGCGGGCTTGCTGTGTAGCGTCTTATTTTATTTTCACAAATCCCAAGGGATGCTTGGGTGGGGGGATGTCAACTGGCTTGCCTAAGGTTATTCATCCAAAAAGAGTCAGAACCAGGTTTCAAACAGGGGTTACAAAGTCCTTGGCTTTGACCTAGGCTCAGGGCATAAATAGGCAGCATTCATAAATGTTTGGAATAGCCACTGGGCTTTCTGGGGGAATACAGATGGCCCAGAGAAAGGGCCCCTTTTGGTGGGGGCAGGGGTACTCACATGGGGATCTGGATCAGGCCTGGCAGCCTCTTCCCCTGAGGCCCCCACATCTGTCCCCTAGCACTCCCTCCTCTGCCCTGCCTCCCCTGCCACTGGGGGAAGGGAACTGCCCACCTGGAGTCCAGCTCGGGGAGCCCAGCACGGTGGCAGGTGATGAGGGTGGTGTGGTGCTTGGAGCCCTTGAAGCGGTCCAACTTGACGGTCCAGAGGGTGGACTGGGCTGGGCGGGCGGCCGCCACATGCAGCCCCTTCTTCACCTTGATCCTGAGGGAGAGAGGGCATGCATGCAGTGTCGCAAGGTGGGTGCTGAACAGCGGGCTGGAATCGCCGGGAGGATGCGGGGTTCAAGGCCGTCAGCCTCCAAGCCAGCTCTGATCTGAATCTCCTCACCACCCTCCAACCCAGAAGGCCCTGCCTCAGCTCAGGGGGTCTACCACACAGCTTTCCCCGACCCAGAGATCACTCACAATTCCCCACTGCCCAGAAGGCCGAGCCTTAGCCTCACCTTCGGCTGTGCCATCTCTCCTTACACTGCCTGCTCCAGTGGACCAGTGGACCACCGGACCCTGCCCACACACACCACACCCACTCGTGGCTCCCAGACTCTGCCGTGCCTCAGCCTGCTCTGCCCTTGCATTCCTTATCTGCTGACTCTTCAAGCCTCCAGCAACTCAAATGCCATTTCCTCTGTAAAGCTCTTCCAGGGGCAGGATGGCTTTTCCTCTTACTGCGCCCCCTGACCCAAGCCCCCATGGCACCTGAAGCTGCCATCAGCAAGGACACACCCATGTGCCTTCTGACCCAGCTCCCTTTCCTACCCCAGGGGAGCCCTTGCTGCCAGATGGGGACGGGGCCCTGGTGGAGTGGACACCCAGGACTGGGCATACAGTGAGTGTCCAGGAAAGACTTAACGAGTGTGTGAGTGAGGAGGGCGTGCGGGACAGGGGACACACAGAGACAAGACAGGC